CCTGCTCCTTAATAATACTTCTGAGATTCTCAAGGTTGCTTTTAACATGATCTCTTGTTACTAGGTTTTACGCCTTTGATTCTGGCTGCAACTGCTGGACATGTTGGTGTAGTGGAAATTCTTCTAGACAAAGGTGGGGATATAGAAGCACAGTCTGAGCGCACAAAGGATACTCCGCTTTCGTTGGCATGCTCCGGTGGACGCCAAGAGGTACAGACATATTTGTCCTCAATGGGTTTGAATTGGTTTTTGTAGATAGTTTTTTGTACAGTGTTTTTTCTTGATGGTATAATGAAACATCCTTTTTCTGGAAGGTTTTTAACCTGTATAAGTGTAGCTAATTTAAGTCTCTTTCTTCTTCCAAGAGGAAACGGAATTTATTCTTTTCTCCCTTGGCTATCCCAGTTTTGTTAGCCAATGGTTGTTATAACTTGTGGTCATTCTTCTGTCGATGAATCCTTGCAAGATAAGTACTTTTGTGAGGGAGGTAGAGATGTTTAATGAATAACTTCATTCACTGAACACTTCCCTTATGCATCCTCCCCACTCTCAAAACTAAAACAGCCAGTGCAGGCACACAAAGACAGAAACTGGAATTTTGTGTTGGCAGTACATGGTTTTTAGTGGTAATATGCAGGACTGATAAGTGCAGATGCAATGCAGGGCACATTATACTAGTCTTTTAAGGAGGTTTCAATTTTCTCTCAGCTTCTCCCCCCCACCCCCCCGAATAAGATTTATTAAATCCTTCCTACTTCAGTCATGGGCATAGCTTAGAAGGTGGCATGGAGATGGCAAAGGGCTCTCTGCAAGGTATGGGAGTGGTAAGTTTTGGAACTTCTAAGGATTAAAACAGTTCACCAAAAAGGGAAAGTTTCCACTTTGACTTTTTAATTTCAGATCTTTAACAGTAAAAGTGCAGCTCACAAATAAAAGGAGAGATCAGTGTGGCCTGTGATAGCATCCCCTATTGAACTACTTAAGTCTTTTGTTCCTAGTCTTCATTTTTTTTCCTTATGCCAGAATCTACCTCTTATGTTTCTGGCTTAGCAGCTTGCGAGGCAGCCTTTTTTCTGGCTTATTTGAAAAATCATCTAGCCTATGTTAGTAGTAAAATGAGGTCCACTAAAGTGCAGTACATCACCAGAAATGTTTTAATTTCCCCCCCTTTTATTTCTCTTAAGCAGTTTCTGATAGAGAAGTCCTTCCTGATGCTTGTTCCATTAACATCAGTCAGTCTGATTTTTACCATGTGTTTTGTTGGAAAGACCATGTAATACAGATGGTCAAACTTGGCTCAAGTGTCATTTGAATTAAAGTTGTAGGAGTTACTGAAAGAGACGGTCAAACAGTGTGAGATATTATGGGAGTGGGATAGATCCCTTGTTTGCAAACTCAAGATTCACAGGAAAAGCTTCACTGTAAAGCCTTGCATTTTTGATTAGGTAAAATAATCTTTCTGGAAGACAAGTGCTGCACTGCTACAACCCACGCAGATTAGCTGATGTATTCATCAGTTGCTAAGTCTGTACAAGCGCATATGTAAAAGTAAAGCAAAAGAGGATAGAGGTTTTCCTGCAGAATCTTATCTATTGACAATGGAAACGTAGCATACTGGAAGGTTTGAACATGTGATAACATCCTTTCACTTCCTGGATAGGCCACAATATGTCTTTTAATATGCATGCTGTCTTTTCAGGTTGTTGATTTGCTGTTGGCCCGGGGAGCAAATAAAGAACACAGGAATGTGTCTGATTATACGCCGTTAAGCCTTGCTGCATCTGGTGGCTATGTTAATATCATCAAGATTCTTCTCAATGCTGGGGCAGAAATTAATTCAAGGTAATGTACTACGTACACCAGATGAACTGCAGTATAGCACAGACACTCCATGGCTGGCTGCGTACTGAGGCATAGGTTGGAATCTCCAGTGCTTTCAGACCTCCTTGCAGCCTTTCTACACTGATGTTATCCTTTATGTTCATGTTATCTTAGTGCTTTTAAATTGCCTTTAACTATCATAAACTTCATCTCCCTTATACCTAAATTTTAAGGGATTATTATAGTTTGCAAACCTA